AAAAAATTTACCCCCCATTTTTTAATGATTTATTTTTTGTTTGTTTTTTTTTTTTTTTTTTTTTTTTTTTTTTAGGGTGAGCCAGGTATTGGGCATAGAGGGCCAGAGGGCCAAGCTGGTCCCCCAGGACAAAAGGTGAAATTTCCCTCCTTATTAAAAAGAAAATAAACAAATATTATACCAGCAATTAACTGATAGCTTACTTATAAATTCTTGGAAAACCAATCAGTCCCTGCAGTCTTCTTTAACATTAATTTTAATTGACTTTGTTTCTCATTGCAGTTTTAATCCAGGGAATTAATTGGTCCTGTGACTCACCCCCGCATTTAAATCTGTGCTTGAGCTTTTCCTTTGCGAGAACGACTTGAACCGAAAGCAATTATTCAAATGTGATAAAAGAGCCGAATAATCGCATTTCATTGAACAAGTGCCTACCTGAGTGTGTGTTCTTTCAAACTTTCAGTTCTTCTCGGCGTTTTATTTTTTTTAAACACGCCTCAAATTGTCGCCTCAGGGTGAGCCGGGTGAGCCAGGACCTCCAGGAGCGCAAGGCATCCAGGGTATTAATGGAAACGCAGGAATACAGGGTATCCCAGGACTCAAGGGGCCTCCTGGAGATCCAGGAGAGCCAGGCAGAGAGGTAAACAATTATATATTAAGCTTCAAAAACACTTCAGAGAAATTCAATATTCTCTTTCATTCCGGAATGAAATTGGCTCGAACATAGAAAAATACAAAAAAACATGGAAAGAGTTCTTCTGTTAAAGCTTTGTGTGTTGATGTAGGGTGAACGGGGTAAAAGAGGGAAGAATGGATCGACTGGACCCCCAGGACCCAGAGGTGCACCAGGACCTGATGTATGAAGAAACTTTCCTTTTTCTAATTTCTGTCTGTTACGCTAACTTTAGTCATTACAAACAAACAAACCTTGTGTTTATCAGTTGTGATTTATTATCGATTTTAACAATAACAAAAAACTAAAGTTGCACAATTAAAGCTGACAAAACATTCATTAAAGACTTTGGGGGGGATGAAATTTAGGAATTAAAAAGTTCCAGACGATGCTAAAAGGTCTTGACTGCCAGTCGAGACCAAGAGCTTCATCTCATTTGGGTTCCATGCAGTGACTTGAAACGGTCAAGAAACTCCCCAAACATTTTCCAGCTAAAAGTGAAGACTGGGGCAAACTTTCCTTTGACTGGTTTTGAAGACCGGCAGATGGCAACAAGAATCATCTCAGTGATGCTGTTTCAGACTAAGACTTGAACTTGCATTTTGTTTTAGGTAGAATCACATTCATTCTGTGAACAACACAACCTTACTTGTTGTTTAAGGGCAATAAAATCACTTTATTTAAACAAGGTTAAACATTAATATGAGAACGTTTCTTACTGCAAGGATGAACTTTGAATAGGATATTCTTATAGATTTGTTTTCATGTGAAATCACCACTTTTTAAAGGAACATTTCAGCCTTTTCACACTGTTTCGTCTGACTGCTTGCCTGAACAGAACCAAATTTACCATCTTCTCTTTGAAGGGTCTTCCTGGAGTACCTGGTGTCAAAGGAGAAAAGGTAACAACAGTGATCTAGACTTTTTTTTTTTTTTTTTGTCTTGCACATAATGAATAAATTTATGGCGTGTTCGATTGCTGAAGTCTTAAAAACTATAAATATATCGAGCAAACAAAACATCTCAAATGCGCCAAAATATTTCATCAGGGTGACAGCATTCCAGGTCAGCCCGGTGCCAGAGGAGTTCCTGGTCCACCAGGCAGACAGGTGAGCTCTCTGCATCATCTCAAGATCTATTTTTGATGTGTTTATATAAGTTTAACTTGACATAGTTAGTGCTTTATGAGATATTTTTCTTTTCAGGGCGAAAGGGGAACCGCAGGTGTTAAAGGAAGCCCCGGTCATATTGTGAGAAACTTCTTTCTTCTTTGTGACACAAATATCTAATCAATCTGTTAGATTTTAATTTTATTTTGTTTTTCCAATTCTTCAACCAGGGTTCAAAAGGCTTACGTGGCAACAAAGGAGAAAAGGTGAGAGACATTACCTGATATTAATTTAAAGATTTTTAAAATGATACGTTCGTGGCTGACATTTTGTGTTAATGCATGTTGGCAAAGATGGATATTTTTATAGTCATTACTTTTATCAAATTCAGTATTTCTGCTTTATTACATAAAGTGCTCAGTGGGTTCAGATGTTTGTCTTGTGATTAAAAAAAAAATACCTGAGAAAATAAAGCAGAAAAAGTTTAATCCAAGAACCAAAACTAAGTTAAAGACAAAATCCCATAAACCACGATGGATGTATCAAAAGGAATCACTCAAAATAGATATATAAATAAATAAAACTGCTACCATGTAGCTTAAACTTTCTCCTTATGGATTATGGAGCATTTTGGTGTTGAAAGGTAAAGTAGCTGCTTAATGATGCTGCAGATAAACCCTTATGTTGTCTTAATTTACACTGAATTTGTCACCTTAATGCTGACAGAGGATATAAGGAGGATGTTTCCATTGTCATTATGACACTGATATCACTGAGGCAAGATGACGGATTAAGACTCATTTCCTGATTGAAATATGGGCATGTTGTGGAAAAGCTATTAGATATGTTGATGTTTTACAAGATCTGGATTTATTTTCAGCTCCAATGACTCAACTGCTATTTGATTCCATCAACAAAAAAAGAAAAAAAACTATGTAGGTATGCAGAAGACTTGCTTTATCTGTAAAGTCGGGTCAGAATGAAAAATGCTTCATTTCTCTTTGTCTTGTTCGTCGCTGCAGGGCAGGTTCTGTTGTCTCATTTTAAGTTAAGAGTCTCATCTGGAGCCGTTCAAAACCGTCGACCTAATAATATATTCCTACTGCATTTTTTTCCCCCTCTAACTCAAAGACCAGAGTAACCTGCAGATATTTTTCCCTTCCAAATATTTAAGTAAAATATGACTCAAAGATAACATTGACACGATTTCTCTATTAAATCTAAACACAAAGGCCTGGGAATGTACTCACAAGGCCAAAAGTTATGTTTTATTGTCTTCATCTTTTTTTGGCGGTCATCTGCTCATGTATTTATTTTCTCTCTAGACTTCAGTGAGCGATTCTGTCAATGATTGTAGGAATTATTTGAGAGTCTTTTGAGGTTTGTCAGTGGTAGATTGCATGTTTGACGATGCTGAATTTTGCTTTCCGGCAGCAAAGAGTCATGAAATGTGAAACATCTATTGACATTTCGGATGAAAATGATTGCATTTCGGAATATGCGAGTCACAGCTCCGCTTCTTTTCAGGGAGACCGCGGCGTACCTGGACTCAGAGGAGAGAGAGTATGACATTTACACACACTGCATCCCGTTTCAGTTGAAATTTTAAAGAGGCTTCGCCTTCATATTCCAAAAACAAAACAGTTTGCATGATGTATATTTATTTTTTTTGCCCAAATCCATTTTTTTTTACAGTTTTTATTTCTGACATGACTTCACAAATTAATACCATTCTGCAGGGGAGCGTACTTCAGATTCAAGGGCCTCGCGGGTTCAAGGGCTCCAAAGGGGATGCGGTGAGATCCTCTTTATAGTGTAGGCCTTTCTTCTGTTGCAAAGCAAATTAAATTGTGTTTGAAGTATTTTCAAGGTTGTTTTCAATTCTGTAGAACAGCTCATGGCACACTTTAGAGTTTGCAGACCTTTAGTTTAATCCTTATGTAGAAAAAAAGGCTGTGACTTCACAACGTTTTTTCTGCAAAATGAAGAAAACAGTGTTTTCAAGAATACGACAAATTTATTAGCCAGAATTCCTCTGACTGGTCTTCTGCTAATGTATGCGGTTTGTGTTCAGATGATCCATAATTGAAAGAAAGAATCCATTACGTTTATTCAGGCAGCATCCTGAAAGAAAGACATATGTTTTACTTATTTATAAGTAACATGCATGTTCCAGTACTTACATTCAGAAAAACATGTGTAAATCTACTTACTAGGGGGGAACAAAATCGTATTAAAATAACTACAAAGAAGGTATTGGAAATTTTGTTTTAGGGGGAGAGGGGTCTACCAGGTTTTGACGGGGATAAAGGAGAGAAGGGTGAGGACGGTCCTCCAGGAGTGAAGGTAACAAATTAAGTTTCACTCTCAGTGGCTGAATTCTGACTACTTGTCACATAAACGCATTTTTGATCAATGTGATCAGGGCCTTAAAGGGGATGCGGGCACTAAAGGGGCGCTGGGCCGATTTGGAGCACGAGGGCCGGTGGGCCAGAAAGTAAGCATGACATGCAGCAAACATGAGATTCAGTGGGCATTGCTGTTTGACAGCGCTGTGATAAAGATGGTCGCAATTTTTCATAGGGGGAACCTGGAGAGCCGGGGCTGAATGGAGAGATGGTAACAAATCAGTAGTAATTTCTAAATCTTCAACTGGTAGAATAAGTCTGTCTTAACAGAGTTATTGACCTGAAGTTAATTAAGTGATGATGTGCAATACCTCCAGTTTTTTATTCATTCTAGGGGCTCAATGGACAGCATGGGGTGGACGGGGAAAAAGGCGACAAAGGAGATGTTGGACTTCAAGGCATGCAGGGTGATCAGGTACTATCAAACAAAAGTACTAAACTTGAATAAAACCACTGCTATCATGCTGTTGGCTTCTCATTAGAATCCCTATGTGAATTTAAAAATGTGCGTTACGAGTTATATGTTGGACATTAATTGCAATTCCTTTTAATGCAAACGAAATATTGACAAGTTTTGGTCTCACAATTCTTGCTAAAGATTATTGCAGTATGACATTTTATAGATGTGGATTAAATAGATGTAGCCTCTTATTACTGTTGTGTATCGGATTAATCTGTTTTTCACAGGGCGATCCAGGAGAACCTGGCCTACCGGGAGAAATGGGGGAGAAGGGAGAAAAGGTTTAGACATTCGTTATGTGTTTGTAGTTCTCTTTCCTGTTTCCTGGTGTGATTGAGTTTCCAGTTTGCCTCAACCTTTCCCAGGGTTTCAGAGGGTTTCCTGGACGCACCGGTAATCCCGGGCTAGACGGCGAAAAGGTTAGCTTTAGCTTTATGATTCTCGTGATATCAAAGACTAAACTGTGTCGTAGGAAATCAAAATGTGGAAAAGTTCATGTGACTTTTTCACATTTTGTCACTATAACTAGAAACTTTTTGGGGGGATTGTGTGTGATTGTCTGGGTGTGGCTGAATGCATTTTATTGATTAGCATTAAAAAAAAATAGAACCAGGTATCTTATCTTCAACTTAATAATTATGCTCTGCTTTGTGCTCATCTGTCACATAAAAATCCCAATAAGATACATTTGGGTTTGTAGCTGAAATGTAACGTATGAAACGGTTCAAGCAGCAAATATTTAATCTCCTAAACAGGGAGATCCAGGTGTGCCTGGCAGTGCAGGTTTACCAGGACTTAATGGACTCACAGGACGCAAGGTGGACATACAAATCCACTCATATTTCCACTCAACAGCATTTCAAGAGATGCACACTCATTTTTCCTATATGTATAAAATCTTAGGGGGACAAAGGAATTGGAGGGACCAATGGTGCCGATGGTGACCCAGGAGAGAAAGGGGATAAGGTTTGCAAATTTAATGTAACGTCACACTGGATACATATTTACAGTTTTCTGTAACATCGTGTAACAACCTCTATTAAACACCACACATCAATTCTTTTGCCCAATTTAGGGTGCTGCAGGTTTCCCTGGATTTCCGGGCTTCAAGGGGTCAGCTGGCAGTCCGGGACTAGATGGAGACGAGGGACCACCCGGAGCCCCAGGTCCTCGTGGGGATACAGGACCCAAGGTACTTTAACCCAGCTTTGGGGCTGTGTGGTTTGTGTTTTCATTCATTTAAACTGGTACTTTCTCGCAGTAAACTTAAGTATCATTTGGCCTGAACCGTGTATCGACACACGAGCCAACAGTGTCGCCCGGTTTTAAGTCGTGCATCACTTAGACAGCCTATTCTAGCCTGAGCTTAAACCCTTCTGTGTTTATAATTCTCATTTTCGAAAATGCAACCTTCACCTTAGATTGGGCTTTTTTTTTTCTTTTTTTTTGTGCTACATATCCCTAAATGTTTACTCATGACCATTTAACGGAAATTACAAAATATAACTCTCCCCCCCCCCCAAAAAAGAGAATCCAACAGAGTTTTATTATTTGAGTCAAACAGACTCTCTCCCAAATATTCTCATTTGCCAACTAAATTTCTCCACTTCATGTAAAAACACAACGGGGTGGACTGAAAGTGTGACACGGTGATGGGGACGAGCGGAGCTTGATTACAGTCATCATCGTGCCTTCGTGAGGGAACGACAGCGTGTGCTAGGCGTGCCGGGGCTCTGAAGACAGCGGAGACACGTCCCAAATTAACACACACACACACACACACACACGCATATAGAGATCTATTCTTGTCTGCACCCTTCAAGTAATATCTTACTCAATTACATCCTTTCAGCAACAATTACCGGACTTTCCGTGTTAACGCAGAGTGGCTTGAAAATACTGATGAGGATATTCCAAAGGTGCATCTAAACTGATCCGTCTTTCACAAGTGTGAAGCGGTTCTGCATTTGACTGGGTGTCATGGGTTTTGTCTTGCGGGGAGGCTTTGTTTAAAAGATACATTTTCCTTTTCGTACTTTTACCAAACAGGGTGAGCGGGGCAGGAGAGGCAAAACGAGGCCATGCCAGAGGGGGGTACCAGGAACCCAAGGAATGCGAGGAGAAACTGTGAGATCTATACTTGAAAGTTGTTTGTTGGTTCCTTATATCAGCGGTTTATCCGGCTTTGGGCCCAAAGCGATCTACTGAGAGTTCTAGTTATGCCTTTCAAAAAGCATAAAGATAACTAAAAATATTCTCTTTTTCCTTTTTTTTTTTTTTTTACTAAAGAGTTTTGTGTAGATAACATTTTATTTTTACACTTCATTTTTGAAAAGCTAAGAACAACCAGTATATTATCATATTTTTGCTACTAAATTTGTGTAGTGGTCAAAGAAATGGTTGCAATGCCTATTTTACTAGTCATGTTTGATTTAGCATGGGAACTTGATTTAAATTTAGTTTGTGTTATGTAAAAGTATCCCTTAGTGTTGCTGCTGCAACTGCTTGGAATGGCTGAAAATAGGTTAGAAATGTTTGTTTTTGGGGGGAAAAAAAAAATCATAATATTTTTTGTATGTACAACTGTGCCATTTTAGTGTTTATGTGACATTCTGGAAATCCCTAAAGTGAAAGTGCTCATGTTTTGTTACCACCAGGGTTCAGAGGGTATGGAAGGAGCAAAGGGGGATAAAGGAGAACCTGGACTATCAGTATGTCAGCTGAATATTTCCATTTGTATTTTTTTTAAAACCTTTTTGAATAACTGACCACCTAAGTGCTGCTTTTATCTTTGTGAAGGCTGAAGAAGTGAAGGAGCTCGTCAACCAGGAGGTGGTTGAAAAGTGCGGTAAGAGGCTGCACGGCGCCGAAGCCATGCTTTATGCATTTACTTCACTCTGTATTTTGTCCAAAACTGAATAAACATGTTCTTTCAGGGAGGTCTACGTATTCTGACAGTGTCTGTGTGCATGTTGGTGTGTGTGCGAGCGTGTGTGTGTGTGTGTGTGGCTATTTGCTGTCGAGCTCCTGTGGCAGCAACATGGCACCCCTGTGCGTTGAGCCATCTGTTATGTTCTCTCAGAGGAACACACACCATGGTGCCAGTAACAGTAAAGCCATTCACAAAGACGCGACTACGATTAAGAGGGACACCTCCCCCCCCCCCAAAAAAAAAAAAATTTTTTCCCCCAAAAAAAAACCCCAAATTTTTTTTTTACTTTTTTTTTTTTTCCCAAC